ATACCAAGCCTGCAGTCCTTTTTAACCCTATGAGTTACTGGGTTTCAGAACTTGGTGCATGTGGTTGTCATCCTTGTGTTTAATGTCTCAGCCTGTGAGAGGTTGGAGATGATGTATAATTGATGATTATACATGATGATGATTGTAAGGTGGATTTTCCCAATGCAGTTACTGCTCTTGCTGTTGTACTGGCAGCCGTGACAAAGGTTTTTGTGTCCTTGTGCCAATTCTTGTCCTGGTGCACACTGAGAGAAGCTTGCTCCTGTTGTGGGATGTCCATGGGAGAATTTGTGGAGAAGAGGCCTTGCCCAAAGCTGGCTATTGGCAAAGCCCCTTCCATTAGAGAATTCACTTGTGCTGATAACTGTGGGAACACGGAAGAACATCATGGCCAGAGAGCAAAGCCCCTTGAGTGAGAGAGTCCCTGATTTCCCACGAGATGTACTGGATATACAGCTGTCCTTCAGCCTGACAGCTCCTCTGACAGTGTACAGTGTTTCCAGCTTGGTGAAGGTGCAACTGCTGCATCTCCCAGAGTCACTGCTCAGGGATCAGTCCCAGGGAGGGGAGGAGGGACGTCTGGTGCAGATATCGGTCCTTGTGTAGATCCCAGCCAGAGGTGATCCCTCCTGTGCCTTGTGTTCCACCAAGATCTTTTTGTTAGTGCTGCACTTTCATTCCCTGCCTTTTAGCACGCTTAAATCAAATTAAAGGCAAGAGCAGAGTTCCAGCAGACTTCTGGTTTAGGTCTGGTCCTTCATCATTTACAGTCTAAAATGCCCTGTAGGAAACTAATGCTTTATGTAGACCAACTGCAGGCCCATTTGCTACACAGATAATAATAAACCCCGAGATTAGTGAAGGTTCTTTTCTGAATTAAAATATCACTTTGGGGAAAAGCTGTCTTCACTTGCTGTTGTGCATAGTCAGTGTCTTTTCCAGCTTGGATTGCTGCCAGAGCTCTGGTTTAGCGCCTTCTCCTGACCCTTTACAGGTTCTTATTAGTGTTGCTTGGGTTGTGCAAGGAGAAACTGCAGAGTGCTGTTTGAGGAGGGTGGGATTAGTAAATTGTAGTAAGAGACTATCCAGCATGGGTCTGATTTAATGGGACAGTACTGAGAAATGCAGTAATTCTTGAATTGTGGATTGCTTTCTTTTAAATGCTGTAGCTGTGCTAACTTGTTATGCTAAGAATTCCTTCTTCCCCCTCTTTTTGTTTAACATGTTATAGATATTAAGTACAATTTTTGAACCTAGACCCAGTTCAGTGTAACAATTCCTTGGACGAGTATCTGGCCTCTATAAAAAAATAAAACTGTAAACCTATCTTGTGCTGTTTGACTTGTAAACTGGCCTCACACCTCCGCTACTTTCCTGGATCTTTACCCTGCACATTGCAGGCGCTGGTACAATCCTGAACATCAGATTGATTGACTTCTTGGAGATCCACCTGCATTCCAGCATATGGAACCAGCACCTTTTCATTTAGGTGGCAGTCTTAGCTTCAGATGAGGGGAGGCTGTGACTTCAGAGCCAAATGAGTTGGAGAAGCTCTTTTTTAGCATGTACAGAATTAGTTTGATTGATCATATTTGACACCAGTCAGGGAAGAGAGAGGTATTCAGGCTGAGAGAGCAAGAACACATTCCAAGTTGATTTTCTCTTCTGTATACTCTGAATATGATGAATATTTTTTCCCCTCAGCTGTCATAGTCTTCTAATAAATGCTTTCCCTCCATTACATTTTTAAAAATGAGATTCTCTCTGTAACAAAATCCACAGTTTAAAAATAACTTCTGTGATGTACTTTTATGGTGGCAATTTCAAAGCCTGTGGAGAGGGTGCTGGAAGATGCTTCTAATCTAATAATGAAATGTGTATAGCACACATGGAGAAAAGAAGAGTAGCTGGAATCAGCTTATTTTTCTTTTCTTGTTTTCTTGCTTCTTCAGCTATTTTTGGTATCTTCTCCTTTTAATTGCAGGATGGAGTGAGGAATGTAGAATTGTAGCTGTCAGAAAAACTAGAAGAAAAGGTCTGTTTCCATGATCTTGCAGTGTCTTCTATTTCAGAAGCCTGCTGGAATCACTGCATCCTCATTTCAGAAAAGCACAGCATAGTCTGCTTCATCTCAAACTGCTGTCAACTGTTTAAGCTTTCCTTTCTGCAGCTCTCACTCAGAACATGTTTTCAGCTCAGCTAGGGATGTTATTACTAACTGATGAACAAACCTGAATACTGAACATGGCAAACAATTGACATTTTTAAAGTTAATCATAGAAACTCTTCAGCAGCTGCTGAGGCTGCTCTGGATGCTGATACCCCGTCTGATGGCAGCAGTGAAGAGCCCGTACAGCTCGAGATGAGTGGCTATAAAATGGCAAAAAAGAAGTTTTATTTTCATGACACTGTCATCATTTGTGTGGAGCAGACTTTCTTGACTGGAAGACTAACAAGACACATTTTGCTAATACCTGCACATTCAAAGCGCTGTAGTTTGAAGAATTCTTCTTGCACAAAGCTTAAAGTACCACATTAGTAAGAAACTGTCCAACTAATTGAACAAATTGCATCAACTATGTTTTATTTTTTCTTATTTTCTCATTTTGATGTGTTTCTGGAGAAAGAAATATGACAGATAACTGCTTGGGCACAGTAGGTGGGGGTTTGTGGGCAACTTGTAATATTTGGGACGAAGAAAAAAGCCATTGCTGCATTTAGAAAGGCAATTCATTTAAGGGGAATTAAGCTTCTAACCCAGCTTTTTTTCCCCCTAACCCAAAACCAACCTTTTATTTCTGAAGCCTTGCTCGATGCTTACAGTGCAGGCTCTGCAGTGCCTGTCACCACTCTGTGCTCTGCTGACCACAGCACTGACACCTGGCCTCTGGGCCTGTTTTCCTGACCCAAATCTAGCACTTTACTTTTTGAATAATTCAACATATCTTCTAGATGTAGGTGTTGAATTTTTCTCATTTTCTCCCATCTGCAGGAATGGCAGAATAGAGTGGGGGAGTCCAGATTCCTTTCACTCATCCTCACAGTTTGTGGTGAGACCAGTTCCATGAAGTGGCAAGCTGAGATTTTTCTTGAAAACAGAATTTATGTTGGTTTTGCTGCTGTGACTTGGTCTGATTTCCTTTAGCTGAGTTACTGTTACTTTGCAGGCTCCCCCAGTTCTCCTCTCAGTTCTTCTCTCAGTTCTTTGGACTATGAACTTCTCTTTTGCTGAGATCTCCCCTCAAATACGGGATGTTTTCTGCTGGGTGAGGTCCCTTAGCAGCTCCCTGCCAGCTCTCACTGTGCTGGGAGCTGATGCTGCCTCTGGGGCTCTGGGTTTAAGTGTTGTTTACACACACTCAGATCTGCTCAGCCTCACAAGTGTGAAGAGGAATTGAGGGGGTTACACTTGTGCTTGACAATGTGTGTTTTTAGTGTGCACCAAAATGAGCTGTTTCTCTCAGAACAGGTGATGTCAGGACACAGACTCTTAGAAATCCCAGTATTTTATAGTGTGGCCATTTCCCCCTTAATTGTCATTTCGATGGAAACTGCCCTGTTTTGAGAAAAAACTTTATTAGTGACCCTCTTCCAGTATTGTGTAATCCCTTTATCTGTATTAACTTCCATCTGCTGAGATGTTTGAATAGTATTTTGCTGTAGTAACTGGAGTGGTGATAAGACAGGAGGTTTTTAGGTGAAGTTCCAAGTGGTTTTTTACCTTTCACAGAATCTTGCTCGGTGTGAGGGCTAAGGGTGTTTAAGGAAGCAAATGCATTTTTCAACTGCCCCATTTTTACTTTTAGAAGTGTTTCTCTCAATAAAGCAGTGGACTGTACATCTATTAATAACATCCTTACATGGAAACAAGTGTTCAGTTACACCTCAGAGAGGACAGATCAGCTTTTTTGAGGTTTGCCTCTTCCTGTGAACTCTAGCACAATCTGATTTAATTTGTAACAGCAAAGACTTTCAGTGGTTAATTACACCTTTGAGGTTGTTAATATATTCAATATTATTTAAGAGCTTAAATACCCAGAAGGAGCTCAAGTACAAATCCCATGAACCCCCCAAAGGAAAAAATCAATATGAAAATCATAAAGCTTTGTCTTTGCCTTCTAGAAAATACTGCTTTTGCTGTACTTCTACACATGTCCTAAATTATTTTTTACATTTAAAATTGATCACTTTAGTAAAGTCCTCATGTTGCCAAAAAGCCCCAAAACAAAAACCAAAGAATGACATCAGGGTAGCAAATCTGAGGGTTTAATATGTATTTCTGAACCTGAAGTTTTATAATTCAACATTTGTAAGTTATTTTGTGCTTTTTTTCCTTTTTTTTCCACCTTATTTTTTCCCTTTTTTCCCAGACTGAGCATCTTTATTTAACAGCTGCTGTCAGAGCAGGATTTGCTTAACACTTTCAATAACAGTGACACTATTTTATTTCTGCCCTGGTGTTCTGGGACCATATCTTGATGTTTGAGGCCACATCTTCCAGGAATTTTATACAAGGAGCAGCAGAAAAGAACACTTATCTAACAGAGCCACAACTTCACTGTCAACTATAAAAGAAGAGCCAACAGATTCTAAGTTAGATTAAAAGTCAGCTGTGAACAGAGGCAAATGCTCCCGTAGGCACAGGGCATCTCTCTGAAGAGAAATTGTTGAAAATGCAAATGGCTGAAAGAGAGTTCAGTGTGATTGCTTTGTGTTTCACAGGCCCTGTGGTTTTGTGTGCCCCAGGTCAGCTCTCAGGAGATGAACAGCCAAGATTTCTGGTTTCTGGAAGACCTACAGCAGCTTTTCACATGCCATCTTCAAACTCCTCCCGTTGGCTTTGCAGGCAGAGTCACTCTGGTGAAGGATTCCCTCAGGGGCCTGGGTAACAGCTATGAGCATGGTCCCCTCGTGCAGCCTGACAGCACAGGGCAAATACTAGAGAAGAAAGAAAATCAACTTTTTAAAAATTATTATTATTTTTTCTCCCAGCTCAGAGCTGTCACATTAGCTCTTCCAATTGTAAAGGCATCCTTGACGGGACAGCACATCTTAATAATGCCAAACATCATCTTCACCATAGCTCTTCCAAGTAGGCAGGGGCTCATAATCAGTTCAGACTCCATTGGGAGGCCATCAGCTGGATGAGGAACAATTGACCTTTCAGGAAGAGCTGTACAATTAGAGGCAAGCTAGATAGAAGAGCACACAAGATAGAGTGAAATTGGAAAGCAGCATATTTGCATCAGATAAGAACCAAGAGGGTGCTGGGACATAGGTTCTCTCCGTCTTCAGGCAGAGAAAATGCATCCAAAATCTACTTTTCAGGAGGTGAGTTCACCACAACTGTATGCCCAGAAGAGTGTGATAAAATTAATGACTCTCCTCCTCCAGTTTGATGATAAATCCACGTGCCAGTGGAGAAACCAGTCACACACACACACACAACTCCAGTCACACACACACCCTCTTCTTACTGGTTTAACTTGACAAAACAGTCTCCTATGTCGCTGCTTCACATCCAAGGCAATCTAGAAGTTCACAGAAGTTCACTGAAAATTATTATTCAATTTTGTGCCTCCTCTTTGCCTCTCACTTCTTGATCAGAGCACAGCAAATGAAGATAGATTTAAGGAGGATGAGCATGAGGAGATCAGAGTGAAAGTGCAGGAAGCTGAAATTTGGAGTCTTCAGTTGAGAGACTCTAAGGTTTGGCATGATGTAAAGGCCAAAATTCTCTGACCTGAGCAGGGGTCACTGATTTTGTTCAGAGGCTGTTGTGGTTCTGAGCTGGAAAGAGGAAAGGCAGGAGAAGCAAACAGGCAGCAGAGTGTCTTCCTGATAGGCAAGAGGATTCCACCAGCAGTACTTAATGAGCAGAAAAATCATTGATTAGCTTAGTAGTGGGCAGACTAGAGAAGAAAAGTTCTTTAAATAAGACTTAGAGCAGCCTGTTTGCAAGATGCCATTAAAGCCTGTCTGGTGTTTGATGCTAAATTTGAAGAAAGAAAAGGAAAGGAATACTTTGAAGCAGTGGTCTGGTGCCTTGAAAGATTTCAAGTCAAAGTGGAGAGGCAAAGATGGAGAGAGGTACACAAATACTATTCATGACATTTTATCCCAAAATGTCAAGTGCTAAAGCTGTGGAAATATGCTTGCATGGTAGGTGCAGCACTGCATAATTGAAGCCCCATTAGAGTTAAGGAAATCTGTACTTTCTGGCCTTTATTTGTTTAAAAATAAAAGCTTTGTCAACACTGTATGTACTGCTGAGTACACATGGCACTAAATCTCAGTGCAAAGTGCCGAGGTTTCAGGGATTGAGCAGAGATGTTCCCTATGGCACCTTTCCCTTTGATCTCAGAGATTGACCTTTGGCAGCCTTTGCCCTTATTTCACATCTGTCCAGTCCTTTCCTGAATTCCTGGGTACAAACACTGATGCCTTTTTGCTCTGAAACCAGGGAATGCATGTGTTTAGCTGGTATATGTAAAAAATGGTGAAAATGCTTGTCTTTATCACTGAGAAAATGTGCATCACTGAGTGTTGAACTGTCCAGGAATTCTGGAAGCGTCCTAGCTCAGTGATCTCTCCCAGAGACAAACAAGTCTCTTCCTCAGTTCTTTGGTATCCCACAAAATCATGCCCACATCTCTTCAGGAGTGCCCTTGAGAGAGTGTGGCCTGGAAATTGGTTCTGGATACTTCCCACCCACTCATGTTTTCCCAAGCAACCCCCGCACCACTCTTGGCCAGAAACTCCCCTCCAGAAATGTCGCTGGGCTGTCGGCAGGAATCCCATGCAAAGGAAACAAACATGTGGGACAAACGTCCCTGCTATTGGAGGAAGGCCTATTTGTGTCAGCTGCATTAGAAAGATTGTTCCAGAACAGTTCATCCATGTGTAAAGTTGCCCCTGTAATTCTGCCAAGGCTGAGGAGCTCGGGGAGATCTGCTGGCAACAGCGCCAGCGGCTCTTTCATCCACCCAATTTTTCTGAGGTGCTGGAGGTCAGAGAGGAGCAGATATGTAATTTGCCTGTCTGAACCAGTTCTTCTTCCTTGTTTAGTGTAGCTGGAGAGTTTTTGTGCTGTGAACCAAACTTCCAGGAGCAAAATATCGATACTGAAGAATTTAAATGGCAGAACCCATCTCCCCACCCTGCAGTTTGCCTCATGTGGATGAAGATGAGGAGAGCACTTGTTGCAGGCTCTTCCCTTTGGAAGCTCTTCAGTGTTATAAATCACAGGTACACTTTGCAATGGGCCTTCCTGGTTATTTGCCTTTAGATAATTACACACCATGGGCTATTTTTTCCCTGTCTTTTTGAGGAAAGTACTGTGGGAGTTACTTTGGTTTCTTTGAATTTGACCTTTGTCAGTTTTGGAGGAAAAAAATACATTTTCTGTTAGTCAAAGTAAATTAGGTGTATTCATTATAGCAACTCAGAGGATTAAGCACAATTACTGGGGTTTTTTCTTCCTCAAGGTAATGATTTAATTGCTTTGATTTTGTTTTGTTCATATCCTGAGGAAAAAAATGATGATAGTAGAAGAAAATGCCTTTAAATATTCTTTTCCCTACAGTGTTTGCTTCTGTATGCCTGGCAGAACTGGCCTCATGTTGACCTTGTCCTTCTGGTGCTCTCCTTAGGAATTTCACTTCCTAAAATTTTAAGGCTTTGTGTGTGTTTGTTGGTGTAGGGGTGTGTGTGTATATATGCAAACACACAAAAATAAAATACACTATACGAACATACATAAATATATGTTTATATAGAACTATTTTTATGTGTGTGTGTCTATATACGTACATACGCATATAAAAATAAAATAAATGCTGGCTTTCCCTTTAACTTTGAAAGTGTTTTGTTTTCTTTCAGCTCCAGCAAACTGGATTGAATTACAACTGAATTGAATGCACTTCTATAGCACCTTCCCCCAGGGATCTAAACCAATTTTCTCACCATTGCTAAATGCTGAACTTCCCTTGTACCCTTGCAGAGTAAGTAGGATGCTGCTATCTGTGCTCTAGGGTAGGAAAATTAGGAAAAGTGTTGAATGCAGCATACTGGAAGAGAAAGTGATAAGATATTTAGCTCTTGGTTTTGAATATTGACGTGTGTTCACACAGTCGTACTTCTCTGGGGGAGTGAAGCCTCAAAACGTGTAACCTTAATAATGGAAAAGGAAGGGGAATATTTATCCCTGTAGCACTGTAACTGTGTTTGGTCAGTGCTGGGCACAGCTTTGGGATGGAGTAGGGACAAACAGGTAAAATCAGGAAGGAACAGTACCAGGTGTTTTCGAGAAATATGGAGTGTGTTTCTGACTTGACCCCTGTTCTGTTTTAGCTTGACCAAGCACTGTGGGCTCCAGCTTCTGAAAAAAGGCACTTAGAAGTCAATTCAGGTAGGAGAGGGGAAGAAAACAGCTGCAGGTCTCAGGTGCTGTCCATTGTAACCCCTGGCCAAGGCAGGGCTGCCAGCGAGCGAACTCTGCTCGTATGCCACATCTGATGCAAAGGGTTCAATATATGGTGACAGGGACAGAAGATTTGCCTCCCAGAATTTGGGGTTTTTTTTCAGTTTCTTGCACGGCCATTCTGCGTGTTTAACAAACAAAGGGGAGAGTGTGATGATATTCACCATCCTCTGGTGATTGCACAGTGGTTGTGTTCCTAATAAACTGTAAAAAGAAAGCTGACTGCAGGAAGGTTGGTGGCTAGGTTAATATACACTGTAGTGAAGTCATTTAAAATAATCCAAGCAAAGAAAGAAGATTTATATAAAAGTACATTTCCATTACTTGTGCCTCTGGCACAGTAATGTCTCAGCTAGCATAGCAAAAAGCTAACAACATTATTCTTGTTTCTCTTTGTAACATCCATAGCCTTTAGTACTGCTTTCCTTTGTTAATTTTTGAAAGACTAGTTGTTAATTAAGAGACATATTTGACTCAAAGGCAAGTCTTGACTGAAAAGAGCTCTGAGAACATGGCAGGAGTCTTGTGTTATGGGGTTTTACAATTATTTTTAAAACAACATCTAATTTTGAGCATGTCAATATCCAGTTAAAATTTTGATGAGTTGGATGCACACTCCTATAGATGTTTTCATGGCACTTGATCTCTTTCTTAACTGGAACAGTAGGGCAGGTCTAATTTTTGGATGGGTGAAAGAAGTTCATTTTGAAGCAAGGAAAGCAGAGTTAGGTTTCTGTTTCCTTCCTACCATTTTTTCCCCAGAAGACTCAAGATCAGTCATTGAACACCACAGGTATGGCAGCACATTTAAACCCACTTTCTTTTACGTTTTTTGTAAGGGCTTAGTGCCTGGTGAGCATGGAAGTAGAGTTACTGCTTAGCAAAGTCTGGCTACTGGCTTTGGTACTGAAATAGAAGCAGCTTTCTTCTAAAAATCATCCCAAAGGGCCAAGACTAAAGTGTTTTGTATTCCCATTACATTGAATGGAAATTTTTCCTTACTAAGGAGTTTGGCTTTGGGATTGCTTAGAGAGCCAGACACTTCTTTTATGTAGGTCCATTAATTTTGATTCTGCTAAATGCGTATTCCTAATTGCAATAAGTCAATGTACCTAAAGAGATCAGAGAAAGGAACAGATCCAGAAGGGGGAAAACTTGTTACTGTGTGCTTTGAAGCTGTGGGATTGAGTGACCACATCGTCTTGGCTGTGACTTTCAGATTGGTAAAGTGAATGTATGGCTTTTAAGAGATACATGGTATAATTATGATTAATCAGGGCCCTTCATTTTGCATAACTTTCAATTCTGCAGTCAAGGCTTGTGTGTATAATGAATGGTTTTTATTTTCTTTCTTCTGCAACTTATCTTTGCTGACTGCACCTCTTTGCTCCCTGATGTCTGCAAGCTCTAATAAATTGAGGAGTTTAGGCAGACACTTCCTTAGGCAAGAGCTCTCCCTTGGCTGGTGATGTTGGTGAGACCTGCCTAGACTATAAAAGGCTCAGAAAAGGGGACAAGCTTTTGGCTGGAAGGCATAAGGGAAGTGTAACAACTTTTACATCCCTCCTTCATCTCTTTTCTTGGATATTTAATTGGCATTAGGAAACAGAGCAGGTCATTGGATTAATAAACAAAAAAAAAGTACTGTTTGAGTCAGAGATACCCTTAGGAATTCTCCTGTTGGTAGTGCTTGTACTGATGTTATGAATTCTAAGATGTTTAGTGGTTTTTAGAAATACTTTAGCTGTCAGAGTGATGTGATAAAGCAAAAATCTGAGCTCTCATCCTAGAAAAGATTCTTGCCCACGTATATGGGGAGAACAGCCTGAAGGTGTGGAGCTTTGGATTTAAGTGCACAAAGAAAGCTCACCAAACAAATATAAGGACCCCCGCAGCCTTCATTCCTGTGGTGTTGCTGTCTTGTATAAATACCCAGAAAGTACTGGCTTATAATTTTGTGTTTATTAAGAAAATATCTCTTTCACCAGCTCCTGCTTCCTTGCTCTCAAAAGCCTGCTTGACTCATACTTAATGCCATAATATTACAGGTCAAACAAGACCTATAATACCTATATAACACAGTCCATTGTAATTTCCCAAGGTAGTATCTGCATCAAGCCAACAGCTTTATTTATCCTTTAACCACGTGTTACTTGCAGTATGCCATCCAAAAAATCAGGATTACAAACCAAATAGAGTAGAGGGAACAGCAGTGGCAAAGATTAGAACCCAGTGGTTGAGTCTGTCACGATATTCCTGCCTTTTTCTCCTACTGCACAGGGAAGGGAGAACACTCCTTGTCCATGGGGGATGAGGTGAGAAAGGATGGGCTTCAGTTGCAGCAAGTGAGATTTACTTTTGTGACAAAAACTTTCTAGGATGAAATATGCTATTAGATTGCTTGTGGGGGCTGTGGCAACTCCATCATTGCAAGTCTTTAAGAATATGTTAGAAAAACATCTGTCAGGAATGATATCTATAGAGCTGCTCGTGCCTTGGGGTATGGAGATGGACTAGATAACCTCTGGAGGTCCCTTTCAGTACTGCTTTCTGTGAGCTTTAATCCAGGACTTTTCATTACTCATCCCTTGAAGCCCCAAAGGTGACAGGACTATCACACTTCATTTTTACCCTTACACAATCTTTTTTGCTGGATGATTTTTTACTCATTCAGTGGTGCTGGCTTCAGTTACATTTGTCATATGATTCTCTTACAGCCTCTATTTATTAATTTTTTTTTCAGACCATGCCCTTTAGGCCTTTTGTCTCTGTTTTTTAAATGGATCTCACTCACTTTGAAACATCCTGAAAGCAAAAGTTGAGAACATGGATTTTTTTTTAACTTTTATTTTTTTTAATCTAAGATTTCAAATTAGACAAAATGAGTTAAAGCTGCTTTTAAATACTATTCTGCTTGTTTGTCCAAGGCAGGGTTTGGTACAGCGTGCCCTGAGCCGTGAGTGAAGAGCTGCTCTAATAACCTTATTTATGGTGGGAACACACGAGGGACCAGGTACATGTGTACAGTGTGCACGTGGTGCTGCTGCAAGGTATAAAAGAGCTAAGGGTTGTGCTTTGAAGTGATAGTGTGGTGATTTAAAAACACAGTAAATTAAAAGCTAACCAAACCAGTGTGATCCTGTAAGTGATGGGTTTTTATTCAGGTGTGGCAGTAAATGCCCCACACAGCTGCACAGTCCTCTCTCTCTGCCACAGCTGGGCTTCTCATGAGCTGCTGTGAAACAGCAGGTTCCCATTATATTTGCCCTTTTTCATCTCTTCCTCACATGGAATTGAATTCATGCTGTCATTGGTGTGTGATGGTTTTTGAGTGGTTTCCTTGCAGGTTTGTTTTAGGGTTTCCCCAACTCTCAATTTGGGTTGGTAAAGTGGAAGATTGTCCAGTAAAAGCAAAGGTGTCTGGTTTAAGGTAAACAAACCTCCTGCTTTATTTCATTGTAGTTTTCCAGTTCAGCTCCTGGGTGCCTTGGTCTGTGAAGCAGCTGTGCTAATTCTGCCTGCCTGTGGGTGCAATTGTTCCAGCCACAGCTGGGGAGAGGAAGGTGCTTGGAGCAGTCCCTGCTCTGTGCTCAGGACACCCACAGCTGCCCACACCTTCCTTGGCCTTTTTGCTGGCCTTCTTCATCTTCTTCCATGGCTTAAACTGGCAGTCAGAAGATGAGAAATCCCTGGGGGCGTTCTGCATAGGGTAGTGATTCACTTGGATGTTTTATGTTCCCCTGAATATTTTATGTCCTTAAATGACTGAATTTGCAGCAGAGGAGCCGAGGTGGAGCAGCGATGGTGGTGCAGAGGTGCAGGGCCACGTGGGGTCTGGCAGGCACAGAACTGCCTTGTGACACCCATGCTGGTCTCTGCTCATCTCTACATGCTGCAGGGTTTTCAAGTTACTTGGGTAGTAATATTTAAATCATCATATCAACCCTCCCTCCTCTGGACTTTTAATAAAGTTGCCTAATCCACTTATGTTACTCTTCTGAGGAGCTTTTTTATAGCTAATATTGTGCTCAGCTATATGTTCTGAGTTCTGTTTGCTTCATGGCTGGATTTGATGCATTCTATTTAATTATGCACTTTAAACATTAAAAAAAGGAGGAGAAAACTCACTTTGGTAGCTGTGGGCTGCAGGCATTGACGTGTTTGCTTCAATCTGCCTGCTCCCTCTAAAGGCTCTGGAACCCGTGGATCCCTTCAGCAAAGTTATGAAGGCAGAATTGGAAAAGCTTGTCTTTATGGAAACTTTGATTAATTTTTTTCAAGTGGTGACCAGAGCTGCTGTGTTACAGAACTGTCAAATACCCTCTGTACAGAAGCCCTGTCATCTGAATTTCAAAGTCAGAGCCATATTTTGAGAGACTTGCCCTTTTCATCCTATCTGGTCTGTGGGGGTGTTGCTGAGACTGAGCCCTGTTTGGCCACGTAAAAACAGCCTGCCAGGCTTCCTCTGCCAGGGACTTTGAGTTTAAATCTATTTCAGGCCTTTAAAAAGGTCACCCAAGGCTGCCAGCCAGAACCTGTGTCTTAATTCAGTGCCATTAGAATCATAGAAAAATAAAATCCGCAATCTCAGGCTGGAGGGCAGGGAGTGGTGGAATTATCAGACACTTCACAAAGTGCAGAATATGCTCTCATTGCAAATTTCTGCTGTGCTCTGAGGCGAGCAGGAGGATCCCTGGGCAACAGGAAAGCTGCTCAGGCACTGCTGTAAGCTTTGGGCTCCACCAGTGGGGATCTGATTGCTGCTCTGGGGCCTGAAGCAGCTGCTTTCCTTTGCTTGCAGAGAAGTCAGGATCACATTTTCACCCCAGCTGTTAGGTGGTGTATCTTTCCAGGTGATTTGTACCTGGTTGTTTAGGCTCCCCACTGCTGAATATTTGGGTTTTTGCAGAGGGAGAAGCAGGATTTGAGTG